CGCATGACAATATTCCGAATACATTTCAAAATTATTCTCGACATACATACGCAACATTACTTAATATCTTTTTTTGGTTGTGAAACCAATATTTATTTTTAATTAACTAGCTGTATTACTAAGACATAACCTATCCACTTTGTTTATGTGTATAAGTATTACAATTGTACCTGTTGGCGATTTAAATTAGCAATGGTTCTCCTAATAAATGTTAGAACCAAACAAGGATATCAAAGAGCTTTGTAAGTGCAAAGTACGATTACGCTTGTAAGCTGGGATAATTCTTATTGAATTGAAATAACAATTATGGCTATTAAATAGCCTTACATCAAAACAGGAATGGGAATAACAGCCCACTATTTTACAGGACCTAGAATCGTGGTAAGTGACCAAGTCATAAACAGAAAAACATACTTGTCCCTCAAATCTAGGAGGGTTATTAGCACGATCTGGAATAAAACCATAAAAACAAGGAGCCCTATAAACTAGGAAATCCCAACAACTTCAACAATAAATCATTGGCAACCAGCAGGTGCAAATCCAACCTTTCCACCAGCGACGTCATACACTACCTGCAACCTCTTCTGTTGAACGTTCCCAATAATCCCAAAACTACTATCATCTTTGTTTCCGGCAAACGCCAAGCAAAACTGCGAAGCACTCTGCGGGAATAATATTCCTGTTGCGTCCACGTCTACCGTAACCCCATTGCCAAACACAAACCCTATCGTTGGAAGGGTTATCGTTTTGAATCCACTGAAGTCGTAACACGTGTCCAGCACGGAAAAAATCGGCTTAGCAGTTGGGTACCTCTTCATCGCTTCTCGAAATGCGTCCCGCAGCGCTGTGTACGCTGTGGCTGGGAGGCGCGTGATGACCGTCCCCGAGTCGATGATTGTCCCCGAAGTCGAAAATACTGATGCCGAAATTGGCAGTTGACTCCCACCGATGTTGATGCCGACCAGTCCGAGGCCGTAAAACGACGCGCCTTGAGATAATGTGGTGAGCGGCGTGAACTTGACGGCGTTACCTGAACGTCCGTTGTCGGAGTTGCCTAAGCTGAGGTAACCGGTGGAGCTTGAAGTGGAGGGGAGGCAGTAGGAGAAGAATCTGTTGTACTTCTGAGCGGTTTGTTCAACAAGGGAGATCTTGCTTCGATCGAGACCGATCAAACCGGCGATGCCCCTAAATGAGCCTTGGTTATACTGGCCGCAGCCGAAGACAAAACCAGTAAAAACATCTGTTGAAGTCAAAGTTAACTTCTCGCTGGCAAGGAAGCCGGCTGTGAAGGAGCCGTCTCCATACTCTTCGCCGTAAATACAGGTGGAGCCGGAACATTTGCTAGCGATACCGGAGGCTGGAAGTTGAGAACAAGCGGCGGAGTTGCAGGAGATGTTGGAGTAAGAGGTAGAGATTGAAGGGTCGAAGATGGGATCTTTCTGTTGGTAACAAGATCCAGCACATGGTTGGCACTGTGTCCAAGTGAGACCGCTGCCGGTGTCGAATACAAGCGAGAGTTGCTTCTGGGGCGAGCCTAAGCCGACACTGACGATGTAGTCTCCAGAACCAAGTACGCTGCCGGATTGGGCAGGAATCACGGTGGCGTCGGATTGTGCAACTGGGTCGGGGATTCCGTAATTATTGTTTGGGTCGTTGAAATGGGAGTGAATTGAGTGGACTCGGGCTTCGTCTTGCTTGAGGATTTGTATGTGATATTCATCTTGATCGGAAGGATTACTGTTTGATTTGAGTTGGTGGACTTGGTTGCATGGGCCATGTTTGTGGACCACTTTCAGTACGGATGCCGCCTTATTGTCATGACCTGAATTGAAAAATGTATAGGTTTGTTATTACACACATTTTTTTTTTTTTAACAAATAATATTATCTACATATTACGTAATCCCAGTTACTTTTATAAAATATAATATGTATATATGGGAACATAATGGTGACACAAGCTGTTTTTACACATGTTTTTTTATGGATCCCCTTCGTAATATATTTCATTGATTTAAACCGTCTATCTTTTAAGTTTTCCCTTAAAGATTTTGTCTACAAAAAATGACCCAGATCTAAAATCATATGACCGTTGGATTAATGATTTAGGTTTTTTTTTTTTGTACAACCGTATTCGTCAATTTTTTTTTCACTAAAAGATAGACGGTTCAGATCGTTAAAATACATGACGGAATGTGTACAAAATTAAAAAGGGATGTGCTATCCACACACCGTTTTTTTACTTTTCACACACCCTTTGTTAATTTTTGTTCGTAGAAATTCTTTAATTCATCCGATCCGCCGGCCAAAAGTTATAAGGGTGTGTGAGAAATTAAAAGAGGTGTGTGGATATCACACCTCAATTAAAAATAGAAATATACGATACAAATTTTACCCATAAATATAAACATACCAAATGTAACATTTTTTACACTAAATAGATTTATTTGAAAAATTAAACTTAAATATGCTAACATGTAAATATTTCATTACTAAAATACCGACATGGATAAAAATAAAAAAATAAAAACTTGATAAAAAATTAAAATAAAATAAGATTTCAATCGATGAAATAGAAAAATAAGATTTTAATTGATTTTTAATATTTTTAGAAAATATAAAATGAGCATTAAAAAAATAAATACATATAATTAGGTAATTGGACTCACTCCTAAAATATTTCCATGCACTTAGCACTCATTCAACACCATGCATGCAATGATCCATATATAAAGCAAGTAGAATACGCTCCATTGAGATTGAAAAGACAACATATGCGTGCATGGATAGAGGAGTTAGCTAGAGAGACATATGGGATCGACCATTGGTGGAGGGTCTGCAGGTGTTTGCTGGTAGAAGAGAGATGACTTCAACTGTGTAAGTACGTGAAGGGAGGTTGGTTTTTGTATCTCTTACTGCCAAGGAGCAGAGAATTAGGCATAGATATGCTGATAAACCAATGGAAAATCTAAGGAAGGAGGAGGAGCTAGAAATGGGAGTTGCCATGGATAGCAGATTAGCAAGTCTTCTTGCTATTTCCTCTAGATTATGTTGCTCCTGTAAGCATACGATCTCAACCTTATACTAATTGGAAATTTGGAATACATGCAGGGATGGCGACTGTGTTGTCGGGTTCAATTATTTTTCTGTTGAAAGGTCACATAGCATGATCAATTGGTGATTATCCACCACCACTCAACTCGTCATAGTCCATAGAGACCATATATACACCTAGGGCTGGAAAAAATTTCTGAAAATATCAAACCACACAAAAAAAAATTCTGATCCCAAACCAAAATTCCCGAAATTTTCGGGATGACATACCGAACCGATCCCAAAATTTCGGTACCGTATTGTCCTCTCAAATTTTTAGTAATCTCGTACTGAACCGAAAATAAATACTATATATGATAATATTTATATACATATATATGTATTATACGTTTGAATTGTTGCTAACTACTAGCAGCAGTATAATTGATGTGGTTTATAGGTACTAACCCAAACCCTTTATCCCCACATCTGTAGGTACGAACCTCCCACACACACACTCACCCATTGCTACTTCTCAATCAAATGTGTCTATTTCTTTGACACGAAATCAAAAAATTGCATTGTAAGTTTTCGAACATATTAGGTTTGTAACTTATTTTTTTGCTTTTAGGTTTGTTACTTATTTTATTTTGGTTGCATGTGAATTTGACTTGGTATGAATGATTGGTATTTCAATTTGTATAAAATTTGGGAATACCGAACCATCCCGAAATGACACGTCCCGATCCCGATGTCTGTGAGACATCGGAATGGTCACGTGTTGGCCGACACCCGAGGGTGACGAAAGCCATTTATTGAAAACATGAAAACTAAAATATGAATAAGATAAAAGAATTTAAATATAATTAATATGCAAATGAGGAATGTGTTCAGAGCATACAACTAACTAGAACTCTAAAAGAAATAATATAAAATTGAATGAATAAAAGAATGGGTTCTACACCTAGAGGACTCGAAGATGCTGATGCGGAAGTGTCTTGATGCGGGGATTGTATGCCTCAATTCTATGTCTTGAGGGGGCGCAAAAACAAACATGAGTAGACCAAGTTGATATATATATATATATATATATAAAATACAACAGTTATCAACATACTAACCCCAAAAGTTATATATATATATATATATATAATACAACAGTTATCAACATACTAACCCCAAAAGTTTTATGAAAACATCAATAGCATAGTATGTAGTAGGTTTTCCGAAAATCGTATCATGCCATAAAACCTTTATAAAACGTATCTCATATATAGTGTGCTAACTAGTGGTATCATAAATGACCCGTAAGCCCCTACATCACGCGACTCGAAGGCCAATATTATATCTCACGACCCGAAGGCCCCAACATCACCCGATCTGAAGGCTAACTAGGATATAATTATAGTATAACATCTGTTGTTTATTTCTCATATGTCAGATAATGTGGGAGCAGAAAAATTACTCCACTAAGCAACCTACTAAAATGTCAAACATGGGGAGTGGAGCTACAATCAATCAACCTAATACCCAACCCATATAACATGGAGAAATGGAAGGAATGTGGGACTTAGAGCCCAATACTTGAGTGCCAATAAAAGGCTAATAATCCCACCAACATAAGGGGTTGGGGGAAAATGACAGGTATGAGATTGTTTGATGTTTTATAAGCATTTTGAACAAACATTTACTTGAGCGTCGAAGTGTTTTATTGCAGGTCCCCTTCCTCTCTCATTGATAGCTAGCAAAGATGGTGTTGTGGACTTCTCAACAAGGTTACAAGATTATTTTGTTGGTGGAGAATTGAAATACTCGAAATTTTCCGCTCCAACAAATACTTATCACAAAAACACAACACCTTGAAAAGTTTAATGCCATTTGATTCAATTGAAAATTGTAATAAGCATCCGAACAAGATTTCTCAGTTTCTCTCCTCCGAAGGAGACCTAATAACTTCTTGATGTGGGGTTGGGTTAGTGGGTACAAAGGCGGTATGAGGTAGATTGTCTGCCCTTCCATTACCATGCCCTTCCTATCCCCTCCTATATTGTGCGGTCACGGTTAAGCCACGCCAATATTTTATATTGATTTTTTTTATAAAGATAATAAGACAAAAAGCAATAGAAATATAAAATATTGATGTGGTTTAACCGTAACCGCATAAATAGGAAGAGATAGGAAGGACATGGTAATGAGAAGGCAGACAATCTGCCTCTAAGGCAGTATGCTTTAGCCTAGCTTGTTGAAGTTACTAACGTATTGTGGTAGTATCTTTCGGCCAATTATTAAGTGGCTGAGGGTCTCCCTTCCCACCGCTGAAAGCAATTGTGGGCTCAAATTTCAAAATGAATATATGAAAAAATTAAAGGGCATAGCCCTCTTCTTCTTCTTCACGAATTGCAGGTGCTTCTGCAACTTGGAGAATTATCAAACTTTCAACGACTCAAATTGATAGGCAAGAAAATGCTTAGCCAGAGAACCTGGATGCAGAAAACCAGAAAAAAAGCCAGTGCAGAAGCAAGTCAACCACAAACAACACAATCAAGAACAACCCAGAAGTTGAAAATTAAAGGAAAATTACCAGAAAAGCAGTACTCGATTCAACTTCCCAGCTGAAAACAGACACAAATTTTCAGCTAAAAACAGTTCTAATGCATAAAAATCTTTCTTCACAAATTTTCCCACAAGACACCAATCAACCCATCCATTAATTTCAGTCAATAAAACATCATAAATGACCACAATAACGCCAAGATATACGCCAGAATAAACTGCAAAAGCCAATGCCATTTGGCCTTCCCGATTGACAAATTGAAAATCAAGGATTCCAACACCTTATGGCGACTTTTTGTGGTCCTCGTATTTGTTTCCTTGTTTGCCAGTTGAGAGAGACCTACAAATTTAGTGGCTCTTGCAGTTCTGAGATGAACACCTAGACCTTGTTGTGCCTTGGCTGATTATCTCACAACATACAAACCCACAGTTGAATAGTTTAAAATACAAGAAATAAAGACACCGAGAAATTTACGAGGTTCGGCAAAAACCTGCCTACGTCCTCGGAGAGATATTACTCTTCACTATGAGAAAAACAGTACAAGTTACACATGAGTTAAATCGACATAACCTAATCCCATATCCTTGTACACCCACTCACAGAATTTTCTCAAGAGCCTCACTCTACCCCAAGAGTTCCTTACTCTCACTCTCTAATTTTTTTCCTTTTTTCTCCTCATATGCTCTCTTCGGCAAGCCTAATATTTATGGCTTTGAAAAAGCCACAAAACAAGGAACAAGACAAGCCACAAAATAAGGAACAAAACAAGCCACAAAACAAGGAAACATAATCCTCATCATGATGTTTCTTCATCAATATTGTTTTGTTTCCTAGCCTAATTTGGCCACTATCCAACAGACCCTGCACACTTGCTGCAATGGGCATGGCTTTCTCAAGATCTCGTAGTGGAACTGTAAGAAAATCGGGGAGTTTTGGATAAAGATTAAACCAAAATATGATATCAAATTTCTAGCAAAACGAAACCAGGGAATGAAGAAAAAAATCACTTCAACTTGCAAAAACTTATCAATCAATTCATAAAAGGAAAAATAGCAGATAAATTGAAAACAAATGGGTAGCAATCAAAACCCAAAAATAAAAACAAAGAAACCAATCAAATCTGAGAAAGCAATCAAACCCACAAATCGATCAAAAACAAAAATCTATTAAAACCCAGTAATAATTTCATGAATCTTCAAAACAAAATTGAAAAAAAACTAAGAAGAGAAAGTGGCAGAGGAAGCCATGATTTATGAGGACGCGGCGGCGGTCCTGGGATGGTCCGGCGAGGTTGTCAAGCAAGATGAGGAGTCGAGCAAAGCGAGGAGTAGAGTGGAACAACGCGAGAGAAAAGAATGGCCTTAGCAATCTGGTGGTATTTGGGAGGTCTTGCTAAGACTACCTAGCGAGCCTTGTAGTAGAGGTGAGCGAGGTTTAATCCCACTAAAGCTAGTCCTTTCCTCTAACAAACATAAAACTACACTAACACCTAATTCAGTCTAGTCCAGTCCTATTTAATGAGGGCAAACAAACGTCCCCTTAATGTACAAAACCGTTTCTCGATATTGAAAAATTTCTGGTGTATTGCGATGCATTATTTTCAGTCTCCTGGGATTTCATCCACACAAGAATGGTGGAGTGCTAGCTTAGTCAATGGTCATAGCTTGACCCACCTAATTCATCGACATTTTATTTCTTTTCTTTTTCCACTAGTTTTTGGCTCTACCACTAGTTGTTAGTGGCTTAGTCAATGGCCTCTACCACTAGTTTCTGGCTCTACCACTAGTTGGTGGCTTTCGATTGCGAAATCGGAGCGTTGTCACATTTTTTGGTTGAATATCCTTTGGTGGCCTTTAGACGGGAGTAGATAGAATCGACTCGTGCTTGGTCTTCCTCGAAGAATTGTGTGTAACATTCATGATGATCTGTAGCGGTTTTGGTTTTGTGTTGGTTGGGTTCGTGGCAAGGGCCATGCATGTGCACCACTAGTTCTGATGCATGTTTCTTGTTGTTGTGACCTGAATTAGTGAATCCAAACCTCTGTCATCATTTTCAAAACTTAAGTCATCAATTTCAATTCCCCTTTCCCATCCTCCACATCCATGGTTCTATTCCTTCCTCCTCCTACCCTTCCCAACTGGCTTCGGATTTCCTCGACCCCACATATTTGTGGATCTTCAGTCACCCTCCTTCATCGCGTTTTGACGCGATTCTCTTGGGAAGTGTATACATTTTAAAGAGGATTTTTGTCAATCATAATGAGGATATTGACAGATTTTTCAGACTAACCAAAATGTTTACTGTGGACAAACTCAGTGATCACTTTTATCGATTTTCATTTTCAGAGAACAAAATGAAGAGTTATGCCAATCTCATGAAACATTTTAGTGAAAAAGCCTAGAACAAAATAAACCTAGAATCCTCGTAGCCACTAATTATTCAATATGCCAATCCATTTGTTCACACCACCACCTCCCATGGATCAGGAAATGTGTTTTACTCCGACTTGGGTGTTCGCACTGCCACCTCCCATGAATTTGTCCTTGGCGGCTTCGTTGCCTTCGGTGACCTTGTTGTTGGTGGGCCATCTTTCACTAGCTTTCTTTAGTTTGTGGTTGTTTTGATCTAGATGGTGCTTTGTGGAGGTTGTTGAAGTCGCCTTTTCCATCATTTTTGCGGATTTGATTGGCTATTTGGAATTCTGTTTCTCGGCAATGCTTTGCTTCTGCGGCAACAGTTCAAGCAGGATTGTAGGGCCTTTGTTGGGTTTTTCTGTTCTGGGTTCAAAACTTTGTTTTGGGGGTCCATATCTTTTTTATCTTACTTCTTTTTTTTTTTTGGTGACCGGATCTCTTTTCTTTGTAATTTGGTGTGCTGTTAGTAATAAACAACCAACTTAGCCCGCGCGATCCCGCGAGTCTAAAATCATGTTAAACGTATATAATATATTAAAATATATTTACTTCTACATCAAAACATATTTACATCTTTATACTCGATAAAAAACAAAAGATACATGTTTGTACAATATATTACGACACTCTGAGGCTCGTGTATTTAGTTCTAGTGATTCATACTTTGTCAGCAAATAAACATGTAACTTAAATTTAGTTAAGAAAATATATTAAATTTAAGAGCAAGAAATTAGCAGATAGCTAAATCATGTAGAAAGTCATAATAATAATCATAATTTAGATGAAACACATGAAACTGGAGTGGTCTTAATGCATTTATACCGAATTCAAAATTAGAAGAAAATTTAATTATGCTGGAATGGAAAATTTTAAGCTTTTAACATAATAAATTTATCGGCACATACTGCTCATTCGATACGTGGTATGGCAAAACTCTAAAACTTATCCAAGTTTACACAATCATACATGGCACTCATTAGTTTTCACCTATTACAAATGCAGAGCAGCAATACATTCCAAAGTTAATTTCAATAGCAAATATTCAAAATGGTTGTTTCATAAATCCTTGTGGGCATCTTGAATTCGCTGAATCTCTTTCTGGTGTTCCAGTCTTTGGGTGGAACTCCCACACCTGGGAGTCTGGGACTTGCAGCCATGTTTCCAATTGTTGCATCTCGTGCATCCCGTCCCCATTGCGTAAAGGAAACATGGCTGCAAGTCCCAGTTGTGGGAGTTCTTCTCATTATACCCTTGGTAAATATAAACAATCATTGGAGACCAAATAGCACACACTCATCAATAAAAAATTAGCAACCTTTGGCTTAGGATAAACATAATGCATACAGAAAAATAAAACTATAACTAAAATCTTGCGCACAAACTTTTGCATTGAAGATGATGAGAATTAAAAATATCACACCAGAACTTCCACTTTCAAAAAAAAAAAAATCATGGACCTACGGATTAGGAAAAAGCCGTGAGGCACTTCATCGCATTTGTCTGGGTCTGATATCTGTGAGCCGTTCACATATACCTATCAAAGTGAAAAACACCATCAAATGCTAGGGTTGACATCTATCTGTACATCCATAAAATAGAAACAGTGAAGGAGACACAGAAAGCAAACCAAAAGTACTACTGTTTTGCAGTGGAGGCTATATAAGTGATAGTTTCAGCAACCTGTTGCTGAACCTGCATTTATCAAGACGTAACAAAGTAAAGCAAACAAAAAAAGGTATTGTTAAATCTTCCTAACTACAAATTCAAGACTATAAAGTACCTAGACATTTTCTCACTCCAACCAGGGACAACAAAAAGTAAACGAACTAATATCTCAACTGATTGGTTAATGTCCTGTAAACCTTCCACTTGTTGTTTATATGAGGATATCGCTGCAACAAAATTAAATATAGTTATAATAAATTCAACCAATATGACATGCAAACCATGGGAATTAATCATATGAATTGAGTCAATTGCCTAAAAAACACAACACAAAACATATTAAACCACCAACAAAACAGATCGATGTCCAAAGTTTGCAGTGAAAAACACACAGAGACTTAAAAATTAACAGGAAGAAATAGTGACAACCATTGTTAAAAATACACTCAAAGTGTTAGTAAGATTAGATACAGAACATTTAAGCATTCATAAAACAACATGATTAAATAGAGGGAAAATGAACAAGTCACCCTATAGAAATTAATCAAACATTTTAAGCCTGCAATGAACAAAACAAACAGTGAAAATTATAATAATAAAAAAAAATCAAACATGCAAAAATTCAAAATAAATCAAACATGCAAGAATAAAAATTAAATAAAATTAAACACCACATCAATCCAAAACCCAATTTTATTTCTTTTTCTTTTCCTCCAAAACAGACCCCCCAAATCCAAAATGGATCGAGCCTAAAGGAGCTGCAATTTTTCACCGGTTCCAGAAGCCACATGCCCTGCAGTGCTATAAAGGAATCATCACATATTATTCAATGAATATGCATACTATAGACTACAGAATTTCCAGAAAATAAACTTTGTAAATTATGCAAAAAAACATTTACAATGGCAAAGATTCATATTTGCAAAGGGAAAAATATACAAATTCATTCAAACAAAGAAAGCAATAATTGCAAAAGAAAAGAAAAATTGTAGACCAAAGATTTATGGTAATAATTATTATGAAGAAAGAAATTGTTCTTACTTTTCTACTGGCTATCAATGTTGTTACAACCATTGATAATTTTTTAAGAGCTTTCATAGTTGTTAAACTAATTGACTTTTGTTGTTGAGAAGGGTGCCTTCTATAGGAAGAAAACAAAATATAAAGTTAATGCACAATATAATGAAAGTGTGAAATTACATTAATTGCCAATTTACCATTGATACCATTAAAAAGGCATACGGACAATAGTTTATAAAATTGTAGGTTGCTTTCTTTCTTCTTGTGTTTTAACAAATTTAGTGATGAATGGTGTGAAGGTGAGGCTATAAAAGATGAAATTACCATCAGGAGAAGCTTCCTTTTAAAAGTCTTGAATGGAAGTAGAAAGAAATAATTCATACTGCACATCATGCCGAAGCTCATACAAATTCTCATGAACAAACATCAATTTCCTTTTAAAAAAGAGAGTTTTAACGAAAAGCCCACGGTATTGTTTACTTTAACGAAAAATCACATTTTTACACTAAAAAGTCAATCTTGGTATTATTCACTTTACCCTTTATTTTTTCCTTATCATTAAAACTCAAAGTTTTCAAGTCATTTTCATTAATTTTCCTTTAAAAAAGTTACACATGAATTTCAAGAGAATCTAATAATCCACCAATAAACTAATCTCAAGCAAAAAGAGTTCAGCCATAAGTTTTACCTCCATAGTAATAGGCAGTAGGTGGATAAGCGTTCGGGAGATAGCACATATCGGATGTACGAAGTCATGTAACAAAGGGGTAACAGAGTGCTCTAATGGGATCTGTCCATTTGCATTATTGATTTACTGTGTGATTCCAAGGTCTTTCTAGTTTTGCATAGAGAAGATCAAATAAAACTCTTGATTACGTGCTGTTGGAAACAAATAATAAATATACAGGGAATTTTATAGAAAATTAGGATTAGATTTTAACGGTTCTTACCCAAATTTGGCCAAATTCAAGCCTACGCTCAACGATTCCAAATCGTAAAGCCTCAACTCAACTTCACACTGAAGAATGTTAAACATGCAACACGGAAACGAACCAATTCCCTAAACTTTCGAAATTGGGGATGATCTGAATATGGAATAAAACCTAGAATAACTTACCATAAGTACATAAGGTTTTAGAAAACGATTGAAGCCCATAATTTCACACGGCAGTGGCCCCTAATGGTCGCGGTGGTTCCGCTACAAGAGAGAGTAATTGAAATATGCAGAACCAAAAACCATAGAAACAACAGAAAGAAAAACTCAAGATTTTTAGTAAAATTAAGAACAAAAATCACTAATCACACAACCAAAATTAATAGAAATAAAAAATCAGTATGCGCGAAAGACCAAAATAATCTTTGAGGGGGAGGAAATCGACAAAACATCGAACCTTGAGAACTTGATTTTCTGGGCAGTGAGTGGAAGAGCAGAAACGTGCTTGAAGAGGGTGAGTTCGGTTGGATTGTAGGGCTTGATAGGTGTGCATGCAGTCGAAATCGGTGATGGGGAGACAATTGATTTCGTGCAAGAGATTTTTTGTTCGAATCAAGTCGAGCAGGAAGG